AAAAAAAAAAAAAAAACCTTAATTCTGTAAAAACATCTTTTATCTTCTCTTAAAATTTTATCCCCCCATTTTCTTACAACTTTGTGCTTCGACCAATTGTGATTGTTCTTTCATATTTTGAAGAGGAAATTGTTAATCAAAGAATTCTTACAGGCATATCAATGGTTGTCCTTTTAGTGATTGTAATTTGTTTCTTTATGAAACTTTTATATGTACTTCGTGTTAAAAAAGTTTACAAGTAATCGCAACGGTAATTGGAATGATAGGCAATTCAGGCTAAAACTAACTTTTAATCCCTCATTTTACAAAATTTGTAAATTTTAACTTTAGTCCTTCATTTTACAAAATTTGTAAGTTTTAACTTCTAACTTTATAATATGACATTTTTAACCTTTTATTTTACAAAGTCGATACGATTTAACCCCTTATCTTACAAAATTGGTACGTTTTAACCCCTCACCTTATATTATGACACTTGCAGCCACTTATTTGTATGAATTGAAGAAAATAACCCTTATTTAACATCAGATTATAATATTTTATTAGTTTTGTTAATTGACTGTCAGTTCTGTTAACTGACTATTAGTTCTGTTAATTGACTATTAACGACTGTTAGCGACTGTTAGCGACTGTTAGCATCTATTAGCATTCCGTTAATGGAACTAATAAATAAAATTGAATTTAAATTTCATATTTTTTATAACAGAATACTAACGGATGTTAACAGTCAACTAACAAAATTAACAGAACATTATAATTTGATGTTAGATGAGGGCTATTTTCTTTAATTTGTATCGGTGAGGGGTTAAAAATATCATAACATAAGATAAGGGGTTAAAACTTACCAACTTTATAAGGTGAGGAACTAAAACTTATCAACTTTACAAGATAAAGGGCTAAAACTGTCATGTTATAAGATGAGGAGCTAAAACCTACCACTTTTATAAGGTGAGGGGCTCAATATTGGTTTTTGCCGACAAATCATAGCATTTCGTTGCCAGCAACATGCACATGAACAATGTGAACTCTATTTGCAAAAATTACAAGGTTTATGCATGCCTTGAATTCTATAAAGCTAAGTTGCTAATAAGCCATAACTAAAAACATTTCGTCCATTACTATATATGCAGCCACCATATTAACAGACTCTTTTACCTAAATTTATGGACAGTAGCTTAATGTACTTTACACTTCTAGAAAACTGATAAGTCAATCCCAAATTTAAAAGAAGGTTGAGGCAAGTTTACCACACTTTCCCTGCAACCATGCAAGCCGTAAGCTATCGCCTTTCAGGGAGAGAAAGGTCTCCCTCAAGTTGGGGTCCTCGAAGAGATCCAAGGCCGCAAAATATAGACCATTTTCAATCTCTCCTATCTCATCCAATCCTTTGATGCAATTTGTTATGCTAAACCTCTCATCAATTTGTGTTGAAGTAACTGCTCTTGACCTCCAAGCAGCAACCATTTCAAGCAAGGCTCCAGCCAGTGTCTCAGCCATTTCCCAATCACTTCTGGTCTGATCCAAAAAAGGTTGCATCTCAGATGATCTTTTCCTTTTTCTATCTGCAACATTCTTACCAGTTTTTTCTGACAATGGGGTGCTTTGGGCTAATTTTGAGTTAGATGGGTTCTCAGAAACTGTTGTTCCAGCCTCAGGGCATGAACTTAAGCCAGGAGTATCATTTCTGATTGATTTGTCCAACCCCTCAAAGTGACTTGATTGGGCATATTTTCCATCAGCCGATGAGTCTGTGAATATTGTACATAGCTGCTCATATATGGGACAATCCTTCACTTTAACTGGCTCAGGCCTAGGCTGTGCCTGCAAGGACAATACACTCTGAAATTAAGCTAAAGTGGAAGAAGAAGGGAGGGGAAGAAGAAGCTTGAAGAAGCATACCCCAATGTCTTCCCATAGATCAAATCCAATGCTGCAAGCTTCCTCCATGACTGAAAACTCATTTTGATCACAAACTGACTTCAGGTTATTAAATCGTGTTCGCAGAACATCCAGGTGCTTCCTCAACTGATTATTGTTGAAGTTGAGATCAGTTTGCTTGTTGAATTCATCACATATGTGATTCCACGTTTTCTTGTCAAAAACATTGTTTGATCTGTTCCCCAGTTGAATCTGCTGTACAACCAAATCTGCAAAAATCTTATCAAGGGAAGCTGTCCACCTTCTTCTCGTCCGTTCTTGCTTTGGCTGAACTGCTTCGTTATCCATCTAAAACTGAAAACAAATAATACACCAATCAACATAAAAAATTTTGAAGCATCATCTCACTAATAAGCCAAGAAATTTCAACACTGGAATTCACCACTAATCGTGGCTACCATTAAGTATTTGGCAGAAACCATTCATTAGCAGAGCATAAAAGGGAAATAGTCACAGCTCTTTCATAGTTAAGAAATTCGAACTTTTTCCCATGTTTTCTAGCCAGGGATCAATTAGCATAAAAGTTTACAGGAATGAGGATCGTTTATGACCATGCAAAAAGCAAAACTAATGAAAATAATGCCTCATGAAAACTTCATAAACTCATCAGTAATAATGAAGAAATCATGCTTTTGACATATGATTGCCAGATGGTTCCTCTCTGCAAACATAAAATGAATAGATTCATAATCTACTTGGCAGACTGACAATTAAAAATGATGACGAATGGTTGAACCGGGTGATAATCAACTATTAAAAAGGATCAAATTACCCTCAAAAAACAAAAGAAAATAAAAAAAAAATATTCGCAAATTCCCCAAACCCCAAAGTAGCTCCAAGAACATTGAAGAACACAAAACTAAAAGATTCTCATGGTACAACGACATGAACCGTTAAGTAAAATCACCTGCAAAGGTTTCATTGACACAAAAGTTCCATTTAACACACAACATTCAAATTCATACTTTTAGACATATTTGCATTGAAATTATGAATACAGAATTCAAAATTCGGCGTTCTTCTGCAGGCAATTTTGCTTATACCAAATGAATAAGACAAATCTCAAAACCCAATTCACAAGGGTCAGTAAGACAGTAAGTTAATCTTGTGTTTTTATAAAATTAATTAACAATGGAGCAGGATTCTTCATGCCCCATCATCATTGCGTTCCATTCTCGCGATCAGTAGCATTACAGAACGCACACGCAATTAAAATTAAACAGAAAAAAAAAAAAAAAAAGAAGGAAACTGACGGCCTGCGTTTACCTGGCACCCGATCCTCGGGAAAATCAGTAAGAGATCGTCCGTAAGAAAGTGGACGAAGGGAATGAAAAGAAAAAAAAAATTGCAGAGGGACATGGGAAGATTGAAGATCGTTGAGCTCCGCTTTCCGTTGACTGTGATCTGTGGGCTGGGCCGCTCCATTTTTCTTTTACCCTAGTGGGATCCAGGAGATCTCTATCTTTGGGCCGGCCTTAGTTCTTTATTTTGTTACTTATTAGTCTTCTTGTTACTTCTCTCTTTTGAGCTTGTTTTTTGGGTTCACAAGGATGGAAGACACTGGTTCGGCTTGGTCCAAGCTTGAACCAGCAACCTGCCTGAAAATGATCGGTCTAACTTAGGCATTCAAGTCCAATGACATCAAATTACGTTTAAATGCAATCTTTCTTTTGGGGAACGGTTCGAATTCGACCATTTGTAAAATTGTTCAAAAAAAAAAAAAAACTTCTAAGAGAAACTAAAGTTTAATTTGATAATGTAAACTTATAATTATAGTTGTATATTTTTTAATTTTTTAATATTTTAAAAATATATTCTATATATTTAATATTTCTTTTAATTAATATTTTATATATTTTTAAAATAATTAAAAATATAAATTAAAAAGTAAAATATCAAGAAATATCATCGAAGGAAACCTAAGAGCCACCAAGTTTGCGGTTGAATGTCTAAAATTTGTAGAAAATAGAATGAATGGGGGTCAGGAATGCTAGGCTCACATCGAGGCCTTATCTTGCATAAGATTTGATTACAGAGTCTGAAAGAAATAGGCTTATAAGTACTTGGGACATGCTGACCCAACCCGAAGATGCAACCAAATTGCTTTTATTCCTTAGGAGTAACAATCTCTACTAAATGTAAAATTCTAGATATAATCTACACTTCAAATTTTGGGTTGTACATATAATCTCATCTTGAACCAGCAATAACTACCGTCTTCCCGTTCCATTGCAGACGATACCTCTAAGCAGTGCCCGAGTAAGGTTAGTTGCCGACATCTGAACCCTCGCTCGTCCATGTTAATAGAGATTGCTGATATTTACAGGTTTCCCAATGGTGAACAATGAATAGATTAAAGGGCACTAGCTAGGTATCCCACAAATCAGTTAAGTTGATTTCTGGATCTGAACGGAACCAATAGTCATCATCAATCTGTAATGCAAAAAAAGTCCATCATATTTACTTAACTCAACTTACCTTCAATATCAGTAGTGTTTTGAAGCTCGGAAATATACTTACATTACAGTCTGTGGGAATGATCTTCTGCATCCCAGATGCTTCAGAGTGAAGTAAATTTAATGTGTCAGGAGAATTCTTTTGACGACCAATGTCTTCTGGAGGCAGCCTGTAGTTTTCTAGTCTGTAAGGAGCACAATTCCTAGATGGATCCACTGATCTGGTCTGCTCCACATTCATATCCTCATCTTGACCTCCATATTTGCTACAATGATTTTGGAAAGTAGCTCAATAGACAATAAAAGCATTCAATGGGATTGGGATAGAGGTGTTACTAAATTCTAGTAACAACAATGCAGATCAAATAACAAACTAGGCAAATTTAAATATATCTCTGCAAAGGAATGTTGCATGCCTCTAAAGAATTATCATACCTTAACAAGTACAAATCAATTGGTCCTGTTGAACTTCTAATAGTCATTTTATACTGTCTTTGAGGAAAACCAATGTCCTGCATATGTCAAACCAATAAGACATTGATGCATTTTAAACACGATAATCCCCAATTCATCACACTGCTCTCACCTCATCAGGATCAGGAACTTCAATACAGCTTGCTAGAGGAGCTTTAATTGCAATAAGTGTTTGATTCTATGGGAGTAATAGGGAAAAAATTAAGAAGTTCAAAAGAATATCAAAGAAAACGAATTTCAAAAGAATTCTCAAATACTATGGATAACTTGCCTGGAAGCAAGGAAGGCTCATTATATCTTCCTCCGTCAAAAATAAATACCTTTAGTCAAAATGTGCAAATCATAAGTCAGATTAACCTAATCATACCCCCAATACAACCAGTGGATGAAAGAGAAAGAGTGTACTTTTGATCATTTTCATCTTCCTCTAGATTTCTTATTTGCTCTTGCCTTCTCCTAAATAATGAACAACAAAGAAATTAGCACATTGAATGGGTGAATGGTGAACAACATCCAAAAAGATATTTGGTATCATTCACAAACCTTATAGTCTCATCGAGACTGCTTTCTTCTGCATGAAAACTCTCAACCTCAGCCTGTAACGAAACTAATTGGCATTAGGCCATTAGAAAGGCAGAGCTATAGCATTGTGTTTCTTCCAAAAGAGCAACAAACCAATATTTTGCTTAATGAGAGTCATTCTGCTTAATATTAACAATTGACACTTCAAGATCATAATTGTTGAATACTTTCAGTATCAGTCATAAGCCAAAAACACAGAAACCTGATAGGGATCAACCAAGAGAGGAAGGATAAGAGCAGTCAATAGGGATCATAATTGTTTCGGCACCTTTAACTTGGTAAGTTGAACACCAAGATCCTTTGTCCCCATATCATCTGATCCCCTGTTCATAAGCCCCATTGGTTATTATCAATTTGTAAATTTGCAAAGAAGCTTCTGAAAAAAGATAATGTTATTACTTCCAGCGAATGTGATTTTTTGAAGTTTTCTCTATCAACCCAATTCCTTCAAGAACATTTGTGATATCATATATCCTCCTTTTCTGGACCTGTCAGAACCAAGATATTATATAAAGCAAAATAAGATACATAAATAGCTTGATAATAGAGGTTTCAGCAAATCAATTTGTGGCACCAAATAGGCAGTCAATGAGTATTTTAATATACTTTCAAAGAATTAATATCATTATAAGATAATACACAATAGCAGTACCCATGTCTGGGAGAAAAGAAAAACTTTCTAGAATCCCTACTCCTTATAACAGAAGTTACTCCAGCTTTCACAAAGAAAGATGCAAATCCATTCTTCATACCTCCAACACCTCTGCAGTACGATTCAAATCAAGGGTTCCATCCTTAGCCTCCTGGATCAGATTGACAAACTTCTTTGTTAACAAGCCTGCCAACAACAGAGAATCCTTATCCATAACCATTCTATAAACATGAAAGGTGAAATCACAAGATCAACAATTCATAACCATTCTATACATGTGAAAGGTGCAGTCACCCAATCATCAATTCATAACAAATGACTGCATGTATTTGTATTTTGCACACAGCAGAGATGGAGAGGAAGAGTAACTCAGATAGACCTACCTAAAGAACTATCAAATCGACAGGTACCAGCAGCATTTGGTCCATTGGGAGATTCTGGAAGAAAAGCTAAATGAAGTAAACATTAGTGTGACAAATAAGGTGGCTCAACAACAAATGTATGATAGAATTACAAGATGAAGGCGAAATGACAAACCAGAATTTGAACTCTGAGGCTTTGACTTGGTATGTTTCTGAGCCTTCACTTTACTGTTAGGTTTACCTGCCATGTGAGAGTCCAGTTCAAATGAAGAATGGTTAATTACTTTGCTATGTGCAGGTATGTCTCCTCGTCCCGTAGTCCTAACCTCACCATTCTCTACTTCTCTTGTTTGTTTTAACTGCCAAAGTGCCAATATTATTCAAAGAATTAATAGTATTCACGAAAAACATTTGAGAAAGGTTACATCAAACAAAGCAATACAAAGATGCAATGCAAGGACATTGAGAACTAGCATTCAATGAAAGATTGCAAAAATATAATTGCAAACACCTTTTCACCTCTCAGATGAGCACTTGAGCTACTACTTGACTGGACCCAAATTTATTATGCTCAACCTTTCCTAGTGTGGTTAAATAATAAATAGACAAGCAATGGGGAAAAGTTTAACCATCTAGTTGCTAATTTTAAACCAGCCCCGATTAGGAGGTGTGAATATGATCCCAAAAATGATCACGAGTGCATATACTAACAAAGTACATATTCTTTAATAGATCTAGAGAATTGTCCTGAGTCATTAACAAATTTTCTATTAAAAAAAAAAAGAAGAAGCATATCTCAAATTTTCAATTCTGTATACATATGTAAAATATTCAATGCATATATTCCAAATATGGAAATGGGTGCTGTATGTCTACTTCAAATAACATACTGTAATTTTTCAAGAAACCCAAAGATTCAAAGTTATATCCAAGGAGGATAAATTCTTGTTCCTAAATTTACCCCAATGGAATGGGTAAAAATTCTCGTTTCAATCATTCCATGCTAAAATTAAGTGCATAGGATCCCACAAATTTGTGATCATAATGAAGCATCAGAAGAGCAAATTTAGTTCCAGCATAGACCTTAATAAAGCCAATACTCTCAAATCCCCCAAATCATAATGATAACAAAAAATTGAGCCAAAGCTATGCGAACAAAACCAATCTAAGCCAAAAACCTAACGAGACGAAGAACCAAACACCATTCAAGAAAAAAAAAAAAGTAAGAGAAGAAAAGAACAGAATGTAAAGCAGAGAAAAAAAAAAGCATAAATGACGGCTAAAAACTTACCGCGAGCTTAGCAAGGTTATAATGAGAATCTTCGTTGCGAGCATTAATGTGATCGGAGGATTGAGGCCGCATCCCCAGGAAAGAAGGAAATAAAAGATTCCCGGGCGAAGGTTGAGACGAAGAGGACTGATTATGAATTTTGCTTGCGCCATGAGACTGTGCCTGGGATTGGAGAAGCTGAAGGTGAAAATGCGTGGGGTGATGCGAGCGGGTCGGATCTTTGCTCGAGTTCGCCATGAAAGACGGTGTTATTCGTTTTTCCTCCTCTAACAGCTGCAGGAGGGAAAGGATTCACCGGGAGATCGGAGGAAGAGCGCCTGAGCGAAGACGGTAGAGACTGAAGAAGAAAGGGATTGAAATTGAAAGCGAAAGAAAGAGAGGAGCAGACAGCGGGAAAGAGGAGGAAAAAAAGGGGGAGAGGGGAACGGCGAGTTTCGAATCCGCACGGCCCGCCTTTAGGCCGCCACCCAAATAAACACTGACACTTTTCGGTTCCTTTAATTGGCTAATGCCTAATGGGTCAGTCAGTTTGGGCTGCCTGATACACTACTTTAAATGCGAACCCGATCCATTTATGGATATTATGGTATATTTTTTTGGTAAATGAGATTTTGATATCTTACACACATAAATACGCACTCTTTTTCTTTTTTTTTAAAAGAAAACACAATACACACACAGAAACACCCATATTATATTTAAAACAAAAACATAAAAAAAAACTCGGAGAGAGAAGATCCACAAAAATAAAACAAAAACACAACACCGAAAATCCAAAAAAGCAAATTTTTTTTTATCTTAATTATATAATAAAAAATAATTATTTTTTATCCATTACTTTATTTATTATCCAATCTCACCCGCATATCATTCAATTCAAATTCAAAATATCTTATTTTCAACGTAAAAATTTAGTTTTAAGTTATATAAATAAGATGAGGTTATTATCCCTAATTAAATTAAATCACTAGCTTTAAATTATTTTCTTAAGCAAACATCTTAATTTAATTAATTAAAATAACATCTCCTCCCCTAACCTTTTAAATTAGACATTATACAATTTCTATTGGCCAATTTAGGCAATATATAATTATTTCATAAATTGCTCACAATGGAAAAAAAAAAGAGAAAAAGAAAAGATGTAAATAAAGATACAATTTTGTCATTTTTTAATTTTAAAATGTAAATTTTATTAGTTTTTAAATAATAAAATAAATTTTAAAACTTTTCCTATTTAAATGCGTCAGTGGTGCGGTAAAACAATTGAACCAAAGAATCGAAATTTGAAAAACAGAAGCTGAAATCAACTTCTGTCACCGACGACCAGAGTTCCGCAGAGCAGAATGTTGTACGTAGATGGATAGAGGTGGTGCAGGCGGGCTTTCCCTAAAAACCCGCCCTTACCGACTAGGGTTTAATTTAACGTTTAACCGCTAAAACAGTTCCAGTACGGTCGGTGATGTGATGTTAAAAGTTGTTAACCCATTGGTGTGGGCTCCTGATATTTATCCTAGCCCAGTCCATAAACTAAACCATGCAAAATGGGCCTTAGATTCAATAGGCTAAAAAGATAAGAAAAAGCCCACCTACCAGATTTTTAATTTCCTAAATTTATATGCTAATTCTCTAATTATAATGAGTTCATTTAAAGAGAATAGTGTTTGTCTGGCTTACTTTTTAAAAATTAAAAGAAAAAAAATAAAAATTACTTTAATGTATGTTTTAAAAATATGATAATTTAATTTTTTTTAATAAAAATTTATTGAAACGACTTAATTTAAAGATAATTTTTCTTTTAATTTTTAAGAGTTAAAGTTGATAGACACTATTTTTTTATTTAAATATAAATTTTATATATTATATTTATATAAAATTTTAATTATTTACCTTTCTACATTTAATAATTCGATATTTAACATAATTTTTTAAATAAAAAAATTATATTTACTAAATATAAATAAATCTCAATTATTAGTAAAAAAATAAATAATTAAAATTATATATATAAATAGATACCTTCTTTTATCTAATTGTTAATTATTTAGAGGTTCCATGATGTAAACAGTTACATCATATATCGAAGGGATGCAGCTTAAAATTTTTGGTATTTTATTATGCAAATTGTCTGGCCAAATCCTTATCGATCTGATTTTCCAACGACTCGACAGAGATGCTTCGATTTTTATTTCTTTTTAATATCCCGGTGCTTTCCAAAGCTGCAGTTCAACAGCTTGGCAGCTGTGTCTCTGGTTCCCATTAACATGTCATTTTCCTTATCGCTACAAGAAAACCGCTCTGTTGCAAATTGCAATCAAGTAAAAATCAAATTAATTAATTAATTATTCACACTTATATTTATAATTACTGTATATCAGTTTCAACTCGATTTAAAAAAAAAAATAGAGTTTTGAATTTACATAATATTATTTTATTTATCAACAATTTAAATAATTTAGTAATTATATTTTTCTTTAGAAGTAAGAAATCTTAAATTCAAATTGCATGACATTCAGATGGAGTGAGATAAGGGATGGAAAATGATTGTCTCCCATTGTGCAACTAAAATCAAAATATATATATCATTTTATTTAATTAAAATCTAATTTAAAATTTAAAAATTCATTTTATCAAATGTTGGTTCTTATATTTAAAAATCAAAAACCTAATTCAAAATTCATAAATCTATTTTATTAAATAGTGATAAAAATGAATTATATTCTAATATACAATTACTTTTAAAATCTAATATCAATATTTAATAAAATAAATTTTTAAAATTAAAATTTAATTTTAATTAAATGAAATGATGTTATTTAAATTTTAAAATTTTAATTTTTTTTAAATCGAAATTAATATGTACTATATATATTTAATTGGATCAGTCGATGGTATTGACTAAGATTTTATGTTTAATGAATGTGGCAACAAAAGTAATTTATTACTAACCCAACATGATTTATAATTCCCACTTTTGCATATCAAAAGCAATCGACAATCTTAGTTAAGGAGTGTTAAGAGAACATTTTTTCTAATTCTCTTTTAAATACTCTTCATATGAATGGATCACGTGAAGTATAAATTTAATATAATTAATAATTAATAATTAATATTAAAATTAAGATTTTTAAAATTTAAAATTATGATAAATCATATTAAATTTATATTACAAATGTTTCAATCACACCAAAAATGTTGAAAAGAGAGTACTTTTACCATTCTTCAACTTGCTTTGATGATAGCCCTTGCCAATGAATTAGTCAATATATTTAAAGACATGTTTCGAGACAAGTGGTCAAGAGTAATCATGGTACCTTGCCAATTAGCTAGGAAAATATTTTTTGGTTAAAACTCTTTTTTG